ATTATTATTATATCACCAGTTCCTCTTTGCTCACTTTTGCACTGAAAGTTACTCGGATAGATGAATTTCCTATAATATAATAGAGCTCTTTGAATGTCACTTTGTATTCGCTCCAAAAGTCTCTCTCACCCAAATTATACTGCAGTTATACTTCGTTTAGGCATTTTCATCAATTCTTACGATATCCTAGGACAGGAATTGTGTAAAGCAAGAAAAGTTAGTGCTTGTTGGACACAGTGCAAATATAAGTTTACAAGCAAGATGGGCCTCACATAATTCCTGGTTTTAATAAAAAAGATTATATAATAAGTTACGTAGAAAGTTTCGAAAGTAATATAATATTTGTTACAAGAACAAGTAAGATAGAGCATAATACTAAAACCGTATGCTTTCGTCCGTCACATGATAGACACCATCAGAGATGTAAATCATTTTTTGTAAAAATATCAAGTTAACACTAAATTTAGAAGATTGTCCGGCTCTATTATATATGCCATATATACTCACAACAAAAAAATAAAATATATAGATATAAAATGATCTGGTTAGCTCTCCTTCATATTTGTCAGGATACCTTTATCTATGCGATTCTGTCGTAAAATATCCGAAATATTTTATATTTGTTTATCTATATGTAAATATATTTCAAGAAAGTTTAAACATTTTTTATTACACCACATTCTGTGACGGAATGGTGGAAGAAGAAAACCTATATTTGCTATAGCAATCGACTACATTACTTATTTTTCGTTTCGCGTAGGTTTTCGAGATTACCAGTCATTCAGATGCTATAGCAATCTATAGCAAATATAAATTTATTTTATCGACAACTCCACCGCAGAATGTGATACGGGAAAATTCCTGGTCTTCCTTGAAATTCGCATCTGCCCTATGACCCAAGGGTACCCATGGCAATATAGCGTAGTGGTTAACGTGTTAAGATTACGCTCTGCACTGTCATGGTTCGAGTCCTGTCAGGGATGTGTATAATACCTAGGCGAGGTCGAAACTTTTGAGGAAGCAAGGTTATATGAAATTCAATGGGAACGTCATTTCTACGCATAACATTGTAGAAAAATTCAACTACCCTTCCTACATTACCTTAAACGAAGCAGGATGGGCACAGCTCATAAAAGTATCCATACGAATATAAAAGATAGCCATCCAAATCATTATATATCTCTAGATTTCGCTTTTTAGTTCCGAGCATATATAGCATGTATTATGGAGTCGAAATTTTTTCTAAACTTAGTCCTACCTGGGACTTTTACAAGAATGCTTTCCAGCCCTGAAGGTGTCTATCATGGGGAGGACGAAAACAGCCCTGCTTTACCCGAAATGAAGGAGGACATCTCATGGATTCCGTCGAAGTCGCATTGAAGCCAATGGACTGCAGACGAACGGGAATCCGCCGTCGTCTTCTGGTGATATTATCCAACCAGTCTCTTAATCTTGTACTTTTATGTGAACTGAAGGTATCCATAACAATGTTATCTCAATCGATTCATCTAACTCTATCTATTCTTTGTATCTTCTAAAGTTGCATTGACGTCTTGACTCCAATCAGGGTCGTCACCTCTGACTAAGTGGAATCACCTAAGACTGGTTGCTCTAACCAACGAAAGTAAATGTTCTAAAATAGATTAAAACTTTATTAAAGGCTAGAGCCTTCAAAATTTAATTGTGACAGCCTCTGTTACAGTTGCAGTAAATTTTATTGAATCAGTCCTGTCTGCTATGAAAAACGCCTGCTTCGATTAAGACCCAGAATATTTCCAGAAGCACCATATCGAGTTCGCTTGCGCTTCTCTCTGCCACGACCTGATTACTGCAAAACTGAGCACAAGTTCTCACTGAGGAAAAGAATGCAACTACGATAAAAACTATATAATAGGTTTTTAAAGTACGAGAATAACTATTATGCCAACTTTTGTAATAGGAAAACTGGAACTAAAGACGCAAAAGAGTGCAATAATTTTGGCAGTGAACTCACAAATGCGCGGTTACAGGTGACAGTTATATTCCTACTTCAAGTACGCACTATAAACAAAATTTTGTAGGGGAAAGATCTGTCAATGCGCATATTAATCAGTAATCCTGAAGATACAGGACTATCGAATTCGTGTAAATTACTTTGAAGGGAGGTGATGGCTCTGGAATTGATTAGTTCGATATTTGCCAACAGATAATCCTGCTCAGCCTAGCCCTTATGCTAACCAAAGATGAAGCTTCTAGTTAGTGTAGCCAAGAGAAAGAATTGATGAGATTGACTTACTTCTAAGACTAATTTAATTTTTTTTAATGAAAATTGTAATATTTTTAAACTGAATTCGTAGTTTGATAGCAGTGTAACAGGTTAAAGTCACACATTCTAGTAAAGGGATTAATGACAATTACCAAAAGTTCATACCACGATTATTCCCAACGGTGATATATATTTTCAGTTCTGCTTTAGAGAGAACTCTCCGAGCATAACAATCCTTTCTTTAAAATCCCAGTGGACAGTTTATTGAGTGGGTTCTCGAGACTACCAGTAAATCAGATTGTGAGATGTACTGACTCTAAATCGTTTATTTATTTAGCTCCCGTTGGCCAGCAAATATACTTCGATCTCAGCACTTGATGAGAAAAGTATATAACATCGAGATATGAATCTTTTACAGAGTTCGAGGCTAACTAGGAGGCCCGTGTTTCCTGTAGGATAAGAGCGTAGGTTGTAGCGTAGATTGACAAGTTAAGAATTCGATCAAGGCTTTTACGAGTGCCGATCTCCCAAACACCTTTTGACAGGAGAATCCCCAGGATTAACGTCAAATAACACCTGAATTCATGCCATC